ACGGCCGCGCCTCCGTGCACTCCATGATCACGCGCAAGGTCACCATCGCCGGCTTCGACCTCAGCAGCTACCGCGACTGCCTCACCAAGTGGAACAAGGCCATCGAGGTGATGTACGCGCAGTGCCTGGAGGTGGGCCGCGACAAGTGCCTGCCCGTGTACTACGAGCAGCTGGTGCTGCACCCCCGGCGCTCCCTCCAGCTCATCCTGGACTTCCTGGGCATCGCCTGGAGCGACTCCGTCCTGCACCACGAGGACCTCATCGGCAAGCCCGGCGGCGTCTCCCTGTCCAAGTGAGTGGCCCCGACAGCCCGCCCCGGGCCGGCCCTGGGGTCGGAGGCACGTGGAGGAAAGATGGGCTGCGTGTCCTGAGCTGCGTGGCCTCGGGCAAGTCACCGTGCCTCTCTGAGGCGCAGCTGCGTTATCCGAGAAAGGGGGGCAGTCTCTCTCCTGTTTCCTGACAGAATCGGCGACCTTCGAACATGCCTGACAGCCAGGCCACAGTGGGTGAAGGTGACGAACGCCGGTTCTGGAACCAGGCCTCCTGGGTTTGAGTCCCAGCTCCACCACTTTCTAGCTGTGTGGCCTTGAGCAAGTGACTCAGCCTGTCTGTGCTACCATTTCCTCATCTGTCACATGGGACTATGATCTGTCTGCCTTATAGATAGTACCTGTGAGTGTCAGATAGGGTAAACGTGTTAGGGGCTACTCTGTTATTTTTTAAAATATATTTTTATTGACTTCTGAGAGGAAGGGAGATAGAGAGAAACATCAGTGATGAGAGAGGATCATGGATCGGCTGCCTCCTGCACGTCCCACACTGGGATCAAGCCCACAACCCAGGCATGTGCCCTGACCGGGAATCGAACCATGTCCTCCTGGTTCATAGGTCGACGCTCAACCACTGAGCCACGCCGCCGGCCAGGAGCTACTCTTCCTGTTCTCCTTGTTCGTGCTGATGTGCTTTTACTGGATACTCGTCCTCTCACCATCACTACCATTTAGTAGCTGCCCGCTCTCTGCAAGCACTGAGTCAAGCCCCCAACAAACATTATCCCTTTAATCGCCATAGCGACCTGAAGGCATCGGAACTGCGCTCCCCTCCTTTTACAGATGAGGAAACTGGATCTCGGAAGCAGAGTGTGGCTCCGGGATTGGAGCCGGGCCTCTTGGCCTCCAGAGGGTGTGCTCTCGAGCCCCCCATGTCAGGGCCCTCCTCTTGCCCCTGCTTCTGCCTTCCTCCTGCGGGAGGCCGCCCCCTCCTGAGCCCCAGAGCACCGAGCAGTGGAGGAGGAGAGCGAGCCGTCACTCCGTATTAACTCATTTACTTGTCTTCACTCACTGACCCCTCAGAGCAGCCCAGGAGGTGGGTGCTGTCAGCATTCGCGTTTACAGCTGAGGAAACGGGCTCCGAGAGGGGCAGTAACCCCCCCAGGCCGCACAGCTGGTGTTGGTACAGCTGGCATTTGAACCCAGACAGTCTGGCTCCTGAGTCAGCTCTTAGCTACTCCGTTATTTTAGGCTCAGGAAAGGGGTCAGGAGGACGGGGTCCCTGCAGGGCGCCGAGGGCCTGGGAGTGGCGGCCACAGGGACTCAGCCTCACCGCTCGTGTTTGGTAATTCTTTCCTGAGAACAGACTGTCCGTCTCAGCCGCAGAAACAAAAGTTAAGTCAGAGGCATCAAGGAAGCAGAAGTGAGGCCCGCACAGTGTTCTCTGCCTGGTCCTTCCTTCCTCCCATCACGTGCTGTACCCCAGCGCACAAAGGGGCGTGGCCAGCCCGGGACCCGTCCGCGGACTCACAGTCGATGGGGCCCAGGTCCCTTCAGTCTCCCCACTGCCCCCGAGTGACTGAGCAGGGGGCCCCCAGGTGGCGCCCAGGTCTGCCCGGCCCTGCAGCCTGTCCTCTCTCCACAGGATCGAGCGATCCACCGACCAGGTCATCAAGCCCGTGAACCTGGAAGCCCTGTCCAAGTGGACCGGGCACATTCCCGGGGACGTGGTGAGGGACATGGCCCAGATCGCCCCCATGCTGGCTCGGCTCGGCTACGACCCCTACGCAAACCCTCCCAACTACGGCAACCCGGACCCCATCGTCATCAACAACACGCACCGGGTGAGTGGGCGTGCACACGTGGAGGCATGCACACATGGAGGCGTGCACACGTGGAAGCGCGCACACGTGGAAGCGTGCACACGCGGAGGCGTGCACACATGGAGGCGCGCACAATCGACGTGCACACACGGAGGCGCGCACACGCAGAGGCGCGCACACGTGGAGGCATGCACACATGGAGGCGTGCACACGCGGAAGCGTGCACATGCCGAGGCGCGCACAATCAGAGGCGTGCACATGTGGAAGTGTGTACACGTGGAGGCGTGCACACGTGGAGGCATGCACACATGGAAGCGTGCACGCGTGGAGGCGTGCACACGTGGAAGCGTGCACACGCGGGGGGTGCATACATGGAAGCGTGCACACGTGGAGGCGTGCACACGTGGAGGCGTGCTCGTGGACGGTGGCGGGGGGCGAGCCCCAGCTGTCTGAGGAAATAATAATACAAGCATCGTGACTCCTGAGCCGTGGCCGTGGTGGGTCATGTGACTGCTTGATTTCCATTTTTGCTTGGGCCACAGGGAAGCTCAAAGCCAACTGCCTCCCACTGTAGAGCTGGTCCTCAAACTTTTAAACGGGGCCAGTTCACTGTCCCTCAGGCCGTCGGAGGGCCTTACTATCGTTTAAAAAAAACCTATGAACAAATTCCTATGCACACTGCACATATCTTATTTTGAAGTAAAAAAACAAAATGGGAACAAATACATATGTGTTTG